TTCTTCTGTTCATTAATATGCTGTTGGTGATTAAACAATTCCTTTGCCATCAAGTAGGTCGGGTCTTTACGCTAATCGAGTCGCTACAGAGTCTAGTCTCCCCGAGAACCTCTATCTCTTCCGCTGTGGCCCCTCCAGCTATCACACCAGCGTACGAACTAGTTTCATCCTGCTTCTGGTTCTTCCGCTTGTAGTATGGAATTTATGCGGTGCCGCTCCATCTTACAAACAAAACACACGTTCTTGTTCCATTGATAGAAAACATTCCCCTTTCGATTGAGGATATGCAGCGATGTAGGACTTTCCCTTTTCACATCCATATATATAGTATATGTGTACCACGTACCCCAGTTAACATATCAAAGCCCAGCTCTGGGGGAAATTTTTCACACACGACACGATTTACTTTGTCGTACTTTCTCAACATCAACGTGAGCTCTTTGTCCTGAACTTCAGGTGGCAGATCATACACTCGCACTAGAGATGGTCGGGTGCGGGTATTTTTATCCGAAACCCGACCCATTCCCTACGCGATACGTTTGGGTCGGCTACAAGTATGCAAAATATTAATTTTCGGGTTCGGATCGGGTACGGGTATCAATAAAAATTAAATACTCGGGTACGAGTAGGGTACAGATGTTTGTAGCATCTTATAAAAATAATAAAATAATGATTTTTCTCATCAAAACATACATTCTGACAAATTCTACTGCAAATAACACATACTATTCAAATACCAACTAATAAGCTAAAACCATACACAAATGTATACATGTTACTTACCCGATGCTCAACCCGTACTCGTGCCCGACGAGTTTCGGTCTGGTACGGGTATTCAAAAAGCTAAATTTAGGGTTCGGGTCGGGTACGGGTATTTAAAAAAATATTATTTCGGTTTCAGGCTGGGTACGGGCTCTTAAAAAAATTTAAATTTGGGTACCGGTCAAGTTCGGTTGTTGAAATTTGCATACCCGGCCATCTCTAACTCGCACATATTAGACACATTTTCCTGCATTCGACATGCGTACCTCGACTGCCTTTCCATCATCATAATGGAAAATTAATTGGTCAGAGTTATGCAGCAATGTATGGAGCATCGATTCTTCGGTCTTAAGTTTTATGAACAGGAATTTCTCCTCAGCAATATGTATATAATGACCAAGATACAACGTTCAGTGCCTTAGAGAAACTAACAATGTTGTCCAACAACGGTCTTTCAGCACCATTTCCAAATCTAACTTTGATGGTATTTTTCACTTCAACACCACCACTTATCATCAATATTTGCTCCAACAGCAACCACACACGACCCAGTTGCGGGTAAAGACAATGCGCACACCGAACAATGTAATGATTCAATGCAGTTAATCAAAATCGCCGAAAGTTCAACGCGACAAACATATGAAGAAGGCTTGTACAAAGGAATAAAAACATATTTTTCGATTTTTTTATCTAAATATCTTGAAAATGGCTTCATCATGAGAATTTTAGTTCAAAATGACATCAAAAATCGTTATAAGTGGTATCAATTCATACTTTACATTTGAAAATATAGACTTGGTTAGTTTGTTGGTCTTCAATGAAATCTGTTAATACGTTTTCTATCTTCACCACTAAAAAAAATCAACTTTTTCAACTTTTTTTTCCTATGATTGGTTTTCCGTCGATCTTGATTTCCGTACTGAGTACCAATGCTACCAACTCCAGGGAGGCAACTCCCATACCTGGACCCTACCTATCGAATCATCAACTCATGGACCGGTGACCAGCGGCTTTACTTCCCTTCCCAAGGAAGGCGTGATCAGAGGTTGTATGCCTCAGGCTCTTTGGAGTGAGAGGAAGTCACGTTTACCATTACACCACTGGCACCGCTAACTTTTTCAATAATTAGGATTGAGAATTAATTTTTTTTTTCCTTGATTTGCTTTCCGTTGATCTTGTTTTCCGTGCTGAGCACCAATGCTACCGACGTCAGGCAGGCAGCTCCCACACCTGGACCCTACCTATCGACCGTGACCGACTCATGAACCGGGGATCAGCGGCTTTACTTCTCTTCCAAAGGAAGGCGTGATCAGAGATGAGCTTATGTTTTGTGTAGGAATAGGAATTTGAGCGGGGTTCTCTCTGTTTATACTCTTTAGTATACGGGCTTAACATAGATGGCCCACAGCGACTCACGAAGAGCTACTGATTCCGATCTATAGCGGTGCGACTTCTTCCTCCTTCTTCGGTGAATGGACGCTCATGTGGGCTGCAGCTCGCTGCTTGCAGGAAGCCTTTCGTTGTGTACTGGAGAACACCACCATCCACCACGCGGTGATTGAATAAACACCGTTTGGTGAGACCGGATGGAATTCAACTTTGAAATTTGTGTTAGGGAAATCGCTTTTTGCAGGCAATCGGTGATCATTCTAATTATCATAGCAACAGTTGCACATTCGTGCAATTTTCCATAGTGACATTTTGAAAAATGAAGGTCTTAATTTTAACAGATTCATAGAAAAAAATCCTATCGATTGGCTTATTAAGAAGTAAAATCCATCATCTCTGGATCAAAATCAAACAACTTTCATGCCGCGACTTTGGTTTTTGAAATTGCACCCCAATGTTGCCTTAAAATACATGATATGTTAGAATTAAACATATCTAGATAGAGCTGGAATAAGGGCATAACAGATTTTGTAAACAATGACTTCTCAATATGATTTCTAGGAATTCAAGACACGTCCACGCAAAACAACATTACCGTCGGGTATAAGAAGTCTGACCCTACCTGATGATGATGTTGATTTACGTGGGCGAGCCTTGACTTTCAAGACATCATCGAAAAAAGTCATTGTTTACAAAAGCTGTTACGCCCTAATTCCAGCTCTATCTTGATATGGGAACTGACATCCGATTTATGACCTTGACGAATTTATGGTGGTCCTGAAAAGGACTGTTTTGCCATGATTGTTGAGAAAATCTGAGCTTTTAGGGTGTTAAACACAGATGAGGCTGGTGAGCTGTATGTTGTTTGGAATATGGGTGACGCACTTGGCATAGATGACCCACAGTGACTCACGAAGAGCTACTGATTCCGATCAATAGCGGTGTGACTTCTTCCTTCTTTTATGGATGCTCATGTGGGCTGCAGCTCGCTGCTTGTAGGCAGCCTTTTGTTGTGTACTGGAAAAAGCACTGCTGCTGCTGCTGCTAATGCCGACGACCGGACACCACCACACACCGTGATTGGAACTGAATCCGATCAGCGGCTGAGGGCAGCCTTGATAGCTAGCTGCTTGCGAGGAGCCTTTCGTTGTGTACTGGAGAACACCACCACTCACCACGCTGTGATTGAATAAACACCGTTCGGTGAGACCGGATGGAATTCAACTTTGAAATCTGTGTAAGGGAAATCGCTTTTCGCAGGCAATCAGTGATCATTTTAATTATCATAGCAACAGTTGCTCATTCGTGCAATTTTTAATAGTGACATTTTAAAAAATGATAAAGTCTTAAATTAAGCAGATGCGTACAAATATTTCTGATCGATTGGTGATAAAGTTATTGAAATTGATCCAGGGGCAGCTGAGCTATAAACGTTCAAAATCTTTCACAATTTTGTTACATGTTCCTTTTTCGGTTTCCACAAAGTGTACTCCCATAAAGAAATCACAGACGTAGTCCTACGTCAAAATAATAAAATGGAGCGACTAGAATCGAACCATGGACGTTGAGAGCACGGTGCTCGTGTGTTGACCACTCGTATTTCAACGGTTGGTATAATGAAATGGTTAAAGGCGGATAAGAGCACCCACATGTTAGACGAAAATCATTCATAAGTTACGCTTATGAAATTCATACGTTTCGTTCATAAGCCGCCAGTATTCACTCGGCTGTCGACAAAAGCAGGCCACTCTCGATGTGTGCCACGCGATCGTCTGTTTTCTCGGCAGCATCCATTGTGTGGTCCTCCTCATTGTTCTTCATCAGCAGTTCTTTCGGTCGATGCGTCGTCGACTTTGGAAAGCAACCGTTTCGTGATGAGTGTGTGAGTGCTGACCACGTTTTGCGTCCATTGCTGCAATGGACGCGCTCTGACCCTCGTTGGCGTACAACAATTTGCCATACAATGAAACCACTGGCAGCGGCTCCAGTTCTGATGGAGGAGGCTTTTTGGATAGCGGAAGATAAAGTGTTTATTGTGTTGTACCTTTTGACTATAGTTTTAAGATGTATTGTATAGTGACCAAAAATCCTCGGCTCTGTAAAGTTAATTCGGTTGAGCCTTATCAAATAAATTAATAAACAAAAAAAAAAATAAGCCGAGCCTTATGAAATTCTTAAGATTATTTTTCACAGTATAGGTTAGAAGTATCAAGTGCTAGTTAACGTCGCAATACACGTGACCACGCGTCTCCATTGATTCGTGAATAAATCGATCCAAAACCTCTGGAATGCGTAGCGTAGCACAGTAGGATAGTGATGAGTCGTAATTCAGTTTTTTTTTAATTAATTTTCATGTTTTGTACTAAAATAGGAAAGTATATTCCCTATATAATTGTTTTCCAAAGTTTTATTAGTATCATTTGAATAGTGCACTGGTAATTTGAAGGTAAAGTTGAATTACTTTTTTTTTTAAATTAATATTGGGAACTTCATTGTACTATAACTCAGAACCATTTGTACACCCAACCAAGGGATGCAATATTTGTTTACAATTATGAGGGATTCATCATCGCAGAATGTTAGTGGAGACCACATGAACGGAGGATGAGATATACCTGTGCTTTCTCCACTGCTCGGAATATGGATAGGCTATAAGCGAATAAGAATATCTTATTTTCTCGCATTCTCGATTTCGTATGCTTTTTCTGCTGAACGGGACTTTGAGAGAATCGTGGCAAGTGTGTACGTCGTTCTATAATTTTATGAATAAAATGCTTGCTATTATAGTCGAAAGCGTAGACAGAACACGAAATAAAAGAGATAAAAAAAACATTGCATCATCAGCAAGGTCAACTTATATCATTCGCTGTGGTATTCGCTGCGGTATTCGCTGCGGTATTCACTGCGGTATTCGCTGCGGTATTCGCTGTGGTATTCGCTGCGGTATTCGCTGCGGTATTCGCTGCGGTATTCGCTGCGGTATTCACTGCGGTATTCGTTGCGGTATACGCTGCGGTATTCGCTGTGGTATTCGCTGCGGTATTCGCTGTGGTATTCGCTGCGGTATTCGCTGCGGTATTCGCTGTGATATTCGCCGCGGTATTCGCTGTGGTATTTGCTGTGGTATTCGCTGTGGTATTTGCTGTGGTATTTGCTGCGGTATTTGCTGCGGTATACGCTGCGGTATTTGCTGCGGTATACGCTGCGGTATACGCTGCGGTATACGCTGCGGTATACGCTGCGGTATACGCTGCGGTATACGCTGCGGTATACGCTGCGGTATACGCTGCGGTATACGCTGCGGTATACGCTGCGGTATACGCTGCGGTATACGCTGCGGTATACGCTGCGGTATACGCTGCGGTATACGCTGCGGTATACGCTGCGGTATACGCTGCGGTATACGCTGCGGTATACGCTGCGGTATACGCTGCGGTATACGCTGCGGTATACGCTGCGGTATACGCTGCGGTATACGCTGCGGTATACGCTGCGGTATACGCTGCGGTATACGCTGCGGTATACGCTGCGGTATACGCTGCGGTATACGCTGCGGTATACGCTGCGGTATACGCTGCGGTATACGCTGCGGTATACGCTGCGGTATACGCTGCGGTATACGTTGCGGTATACGCTGCGGTATACGCTGCGGTATACGCTGTGATATACGCTGCGGTATACGCTGTGGTATACGCTGCGGTATACGCTGCGATAATCGCTGCGAAATTCGTATTTTATAAAACGCTGCGTACACTTCCGGGAAGAAAAAGAAAAGTTTTTCATAAATTGGATGCTTGCAGATAATATCGCTGTTTCTAAAGTGTTGTGATTTAAAGAGTTCTAAGGAGGTTTTACGGTAGTTAATTTTGTATTAGAAAGAATTCCATGTTAACTGTTTATGTGTTTTTATGTGGTTGTGTGTATTTTTTCCTTTTCTTCTTTTCGAAATTTTCCAAAATGTATTTGAGGTTGTGTTGGTGCTGCCATGGTGCTTGCAGATTGTGCTTGATGTGCTTGTTCCAGTTAAGAACAATCCGTTTGTTTCCTGGTGGGATAACCTCGATCACACGAGATCTATTTTGCGGTTTTAAATAGAACATAAGAAAAGCGATAACTTCGGTAAGGTGTGCATCCGAATGCAAGAACATAGTTGAGTCTTGTGGGGGAAAAGACATTACGATTTATACCAAGCTACTATTGTAGGAAACCATATCTGATCGATCTTGGGCGGCACGCTTCGGAATGCTTAGTAAAATAGGGAGCACGCATGATCCAGTTTGGAATACATTATTGACTGCTTTCTAGAACGTAATTTCATTTGAATAACTTGTTTAACCAGAGCTCAATTTTATTTTTAATTTATTTATTTGTCGTCAATCAGTGTAGACCGTTTTACACTCGTCACGTTGGCCATAACTTTTTATGATAACCTGAACAATACGTAAAGAGCAAATAAAAAAAAAATTGAACGTCGCGTGAAAGTTTAACTTAATGAAGGCCTAAGTACTTTTTCGAAGCTTTTAGATTTCGGATTTGAAAGATCGTCAGTTGCAGTGGCTTGCTTAGTGAGTAGAAAAACGTGGTCCCAGGTCCTATCATATTAAAGAGATTTATGGTTAAATCGCTTGTTAATCGTGTATTTTCCGAAATGTGTCGTCATTGTCGTTTCCGGTGGTTACAACAACTCGAGTAGCGGTATGATGTGATATGAGGGGCTATGTGGCCTTAGAGCAACCGTTTTTGCTTACTGAGTAGAACATCATGAGCCTAATATCAGGCCCATCCACATTCAAAATTCATCAATTGTCTGATTTGTTAATGTGACTACATGGTAATAACAGCAACTCGATGATTAAAAAGGAGCTCGTTTACCTAGTGACAAACGTTTTTGCTTACTGAGCAGAAGACTGTGGGTTCAATCCCAAGCTCCTTTGCGTTATATGTTCGTTAAGACATCAATTCAGCTATTCCCCAATATCCCAGTGATTTCTCGTTGAAGTGCAGAGGTGTTCTCGGCTTCCATCAAAGCGAGTGTCACGTCAACACATTCCTAACTCTTCCTTTCTTGACCTGTGTTCGGGTGCGGCCAGCGCTGGAATTGCCTAGTTTGAGATCACCAGTTTTCTATTGGTTCTCCGTGAAATTACAGCTGATCTGGCAATAACAGAGTAGCAACCGTGAGCGGTCCATCATGTTCATGCTCATGGATCGATTGATTCCTTCTTACATATTTTTCCCTGAAAGCTTATGAAAATGTCTAGTAGAATGCTGCATAGTCGAGTTTTTAATTGCACCTCTGAAAAAAATCAGATAAAAAACCAAAATTCAGGTTTTACGGTGCAATGTCAAAAACACGTAGCGTGACCACCATATTAATAAAATTTAAAAAAAATAACCTTTCCAATGGTATAAAACAATAGAAAATTGTTAAATAGAATACTATAGATAGGTGCATTTTGAAAAAAAGTGTTGAGTTGATGCTCGAAAAGTTATGAAACATGAAAAAAAACTGTATACTTTAGTTAAACCCAAGGACTCCTCAGCAGGCATCCCAAGTAACCATTTAAGTTTTATGAGGGATCTGTAGACCATGAATTAGACTTGTAGAATGCTTTAAAACCTTTATAAAACTTGCAATGTTACTTGAGATGCTGCCATTCGATTGCTATAAAAAAATATTTTTCCTTGGTCCGAAATCATTACAAGTTATGATGATATTTTGCATTTGTAAGTTACAAGCAAAGGTTGTAAAGTATGTGTTTGACGCATGAAACCTGTCAATTTCTCATTTTTAGGGCCACAGTTAGCGATTTAATGATCGGTGAATATTCACTCTTCAGAAAGCTTTCAATTAACAACTGTGGATGTGCTCAAAGAACACTAAGTTGAGAGCTGGCGCAGAGTCCAACTAGGAACGTTATAGTAAAGCCAAAAGAAGAAGTTGTAACTTCCTAGTTCAAAATATCATTATAACATCGAATGATTTCATAATTCCGAACACACATTTTTTATAGCAAACAGTAACCTTGCTCCTCAGTAAAAAGGGAGCTGAAACAGTTTATGAATACGTGCAATTTTTGCTCGAATTAAACCTAGTATGTTGAAAATAGGAGAAAAAGGTTTTAATAATATTGAAAACAAATCCATAAAAGTAATCAAAACTGTCAAAAATTACCCATGGCTAATCTTTAATAGCAGCATGATGGATTCAGCGAGAACCACACGAGCCTCCGACCGATACGTCAAATTTCCCTGGCACACTTTTTAATCAATGTCAGAATAATACAACGCTTGCGAAGCGATGTATTTGTAAATATTTTCACCCCTATTCTGCCTTCTTCGGATTTCGATTCAAGTGCCAGAAAACACACCACATCACTGCCTACCGGGCGACCTTGGATTAGAAGGCAATGTGCTCTAGAAGCCAATAATAATAATGCCGTTCTACATAGCACCCGTTTCGTACATGTACAAACATTTGGGCAGCTAAAAACGATAACACCCCTCCGGGGATCGAATGTTGTTGGTTTATTATTGAAGGTTTTTACATCGTGAACTTAACCTTATGTTTTGGTTTGATAGTGGTGATACGTATTCCAATCCTGGGTAGAACCGGATCGATAAAGAAGAAATGTAAACACCCAGTGGAAGCAGACAACGGATATCTATAAATTGAGAAATATTTAAATCAAACACTTCAGAGCCAAAAGTGGGTTATAGTTCAAATCGTTGATGCGTATGGTCGTTTTGGAAAGAGATTGGACCAAACTACTTGAGAAACTCTCGTATAGGAAAATTCCTATGCCTGATGGTTGCACATTGATTTCTGCCGATATGAAGGCTGTGCGTTCGAGACTTGAGATTGAATGTTTTCTTTAGTTATTGACATGTATTTAACCATTTCGTTTTCAGATGAAGCGTAACACGTCAACAGCTACTTGGGGTTTCATGCTGAGATGTGATAAATATTTCATTCCCAAATAAAATAATCACTTTCCCAGTCAACCCTAGGACGACGAAACATCACCGGCACACACTCAATCAAGTATCATCGTTTTCCTTGCGAAGAGTTTTCCACTTGATCACCTCAAGATTGCTGCCCTATATCCATACAAGCATGAAGCAATACACTCTTCTCCAATGAACCTGAACTGAAGAGATCATCTTCATCTCGCTCTCGAGATGCATTCATCAGTTCTAGGTAGGGCAACGAGTCGGTACCTGCCACACCAGGAAATTTCCGACCCGTGCAAAGAAGGCGCATCTATCAACGCTTCTGCTTTCTGCTCTTGTTACCGTAATTAATTATCTCCACTTTTCTGCTTCATTATGCAATTTGATTGAGCAAAAGTATTTTCATTCATAATATTTCATCTCGACGGACAGGCACGCTCTTTGCCGCAAGCAACTGAGTGTATGATGGCAGTAGAGCTGTACATACCGAGCAGTGTCTTTCCCTTTCTGGGAAAATTATGAACGTGGAAATGAAGTGAGGAAAAAAAAGTTTAAAATGCTAGTTTTTGTAGCGTCTTTTGTGATGAAAATAGAATCGCCCACTCTCCATTCACATTGGTTCAACAGGAGCAGCTCTAGAGTCCTTGTAGATCGTGCGATTTTTTTCGTAGAAAATATGCCGGTAACGCGACGCAGCACTAGTTCGAACAGAAGTAATTTATTCAGATAGATTCATGAAAAATGTATAAACAAGCAAATTGGTTCCTTCCCGTGGCATACCACGTTCATACCAACGATGACGGTAAAGTTTTGAAATTTGCGAAACATTTGTAATACAAATGAATACATTGCATGCTAATCTGTTTTAAATGGCACATTTCACTGCAAATCACCTGGTTTATTATGGAATAGTATAAAAAGTTCAACAGATAATACTGTCTAAGTTCAATTTTCTTGGGAAAACACCGCTACTTGTAAACAACAATGATGACTGATGACAAATCACTCCTTCAAATGTTGTTCGGAAAATTAGTAACGTTCCAAAATAGTCTCAGAAAATTGGCCACATATTTATTCCACGAATGGAGATCGTTTCATTCGTATGTATTAAAAGCAATTAAGACAACACAGTTTGGTTAGTTTTCGTGTATTACGAATGTATCTATAGTTTAACGGAATAAATAACATAACCATTTTCAAATAAGCCTACATTTTTTAAGTAAATTACCACACTAAAATCACTGAATAGGCCGATACACTGATTTGGAATGGTGCTGGCATTCCAATAACATAAACAACAGTCGTAAACATTTTTTGCCAAACGCAACAAGGTCCCCCCGAATCCAATCACCGACGGAAACCCTCATAGTCATAGTTTGTTCCGAAAACTTCTACCGTTTCCCAGCCAACTAGTCAACCAGCAGTGACGGGTGTGATTTGATACCATCTCTGGTGCTTCGATTTTCTGCTTCCTGATACATTTCATATCCCACTATCAGCAAACAGAAATTGAAAGCGATGATGTGAAAACTTGGGAACGATATCGTATAACAGAGAACCTTACACTGAAGAAAGTTTTCATATGTTTTCCATTGTATTTTTCAATACCCTATCGAAAGATATTCAATCTAAAATTCACCTAATTTTCATGTGACCGCATGAGTTCAATGAGTTTGAATTCTAGTTCGGATTTCCAACCAAAAAACAACATGACACCTTTTTTGAGTGCACATAGTACATCGTTTCCGTTTTCCCTCTTTCTCC